CAACAGATAAAGAAGATGAGGTGAACTTACTCAGTTTCTGCGGGCAGGAACGCACCATGTGACCAGCTTCGCCGCAGTACAGGCACAGATTCTGGGAGCGTCTGCGCTGGCGTTCCTCAGGCGATAGTTTAGGCCGAGCCAGGCCTAGCTGCATGGGTTCGGGAGCATCTTCAAACGGCAGGTTCTGGGTGCTTGGCCTAGTATGTTGACTGGATCCCTGAAATGACCCCCAGGGATTTCCGCGACCCTGACCAGACCTCTCCAATCTGCGCTCCCGTAGTCTACGGTCAATTTTGATGGTGAGTGCAATCAGGTCCTCTAATGTCTCGGGCACCTCCACCCGGGCGAGCTCGTCTTTCAGAGCCTCTGATAGGCCCATACGAAACTGGTGCAAAAGTGCGAACTCGTTCCAACGAGTGTCACCCATCCAGCGCCTAAAGTCAGAGGCGTATTCCTCAGCCGCCCGCCGACCTTGTCGGAGTGCGTATAATGTGGCCTCAGCCGAGGCTGCCCGTTGTGGGTCATCATATAAGATGGCCATAGCGTTAAAGAAGCTGTCGACCGTAACCAGGTGAGGGTCATTGTTTCCCCTTAGTCGGTGGGCCCAGTCTTGGGGTTCACCCTGCAACAGGGAGACAACAAACCCCACTTTCACTGATTCCGTCAAAAAGGTCCGTGGCTGCAGTTCAAAATAGAGCAGACAGGAGTCACGGAATGACCGAAAGCGTGTGCGATCCCCATGGAAGCGCTCGGGTAAGGGTACTCGGGGTTCCGCCATAGGGAGTGATGTGGGAGGCCCAGGAGCCGGCTCATGGACTGCTGCGACCGGTGGTGCAGGAGCCAGGGCCTGTGAAACAGGAACCGATATGGTGCAGGCCTGAAACCGATTCTCGATCTGCAGACATCTGTCCTGTAATGTGTTTACAGCTTGCGTCAGGGTAGCCAGGTGCCTGCAAACCTCGTCCAACGGGGAGAGTCCTCCTCGAGGCTCAGTCATGGCCTTCTGGTACTGTGAGGGACCGCCGAGCGGCACCACTAGCACTCCACTGGTCAGGCGTGCCCAGAGCGCGGAGTCTAAGCCCCAGGGTACTTGTTCACCAGGGCCCCTGATGGTGGGGATGGACTTGTAGTACCCCGAGACCAGGTCGCCTCTACTGAGCACACCTGTCAGTGGTAGTGTGGTGTTCGCCAGGGGCTCCAACCAGGGAGAGCCAGATGTGAGGAGGTCGGGTGACCCCGATGGGGATGGATGGATGGATGGCTGAGCAAGTGCGTAGTCAGCAGGCCGAGTCGGTATTGTAGAGGACGGTAAGGTACAAGGGAGCAGGCAGAGAATCGTCGGGTCACACGCCAGGTCAGCAGCAAGAGGTCAGATCTAATAGGGGGCATCCAGGGAGAGAGGTCAGGCAAGCAAGGGTCTGGGCAGGAGAAATCAGCAAGGTCAAAGGCAATCCGGGTCAACAACTCACTAGGCACAGGTACAGGAACACAGGAAGCAGGTAAGACCAGAAGGCAACGAAATGACAGCTCAGGGACCTTTAAATATCCCACCCTGCGCTGCCATTGGTGCCCAGCGGGCGGCCGCGGCTTCTACTGCGCATGCGCGAACTCGAACGCCGCGGCCGGCCCGGACCTAGTGCCCGTGCGCTGGGTGGAGCAGTGCGCCTGCGCCGAGCCCATCGCGGCGGGGATCGAGGAGATCCCTGACAGCTGATTTTACTAAGGGATGTGTTAATTTTCATTCCCTGCTTTGCAGGGAAACAAAAACCAGCACATCCCCGCTGTCGAGACAGAGCTCTGTGTTGTTTACAATCACAGAGCTCTACTCTGTCATCCATTTTGCCGATCGGCAGGTCCTGGCCATCAATCATTGGACAGTTGACCAGCTTGTAATGTAACTAATCACAGCACAGCCAATACTCGAGACAGCTGGATCACGTATTAGATACATAATCCAACGCAGAGAACCCACCTTGATGCTGAACTCCTAAGAGAGGCTGTCGGCAAGCGGTTTTACACCCCTCCCAACTGGAAAGTCAGGGGAAGCATCTCTGGGCTGTGCATGGGGCCCAGAACATCAAAAGTTAAAAGAGTAGAATTTGGGCCAAATTTTTAAAACATTTGATCCTTTTTCACTTTATTCAAAATTAAAGAAAAAAGTTTTGCCTTTAGTTACACATTAAAATCTCCATTGGAAGGCCACGTGACAAGGTGACAGTGCAGGACCACAACTGGGAGACAGAAACAGAATGTTGTGACCCTTTAATAGAATGAGAAGATCACCAGGTTTTGTTTTAAAAGCTGTAGATTTTAAAAGACTAAAATGACATTTGAAATGACATTAACAGATTATTAAATAAAGATTATATGAGATTAGTTTTTGCTCCCACAGGCTGCATTGTTATGTAGGCCTTGACTCTTTCAATGGATGCTGCTTATTATTATTTTGTGTCCCCCCCCCCCCAATAAACACAGCAAACTGTTTACTGGTTCTTTCTTTAGAACTTTATTTTATAGTTTTATCTTATTTTTATTCTTGTTGTATTCTATTTCAAGGCCCAACATTATCCTATCTGACCTTGTGTACTGATGGTTCCTAATTACTTCCCTACCTGGCCAATTCTTTCATTTATCTCCTGCATTTTAAAACCAGTATTTTCTTGCTAGAAAAATAGGTAGAACCCCCCAAACATTATATATTTTTTAGAAGAGGCCAGAGAGAATAAAATTGTGGGTGTTGTAATGTTTTATGTCACGCGGTATTTGCTCAGCGGTTTTTTCAAGCCCTTTTTTTGGGGGGGAAAAATACACTTTGAATTTATTTTTTTGCACACGAACACTGTATAATTCCTAATTTTTTGTTAAAATATAAAAGATGATGTTACACCGAGTAAATAGATACCTAACATGTCACACTTTAACCACTTCCCGACTGCCCTATAGCAGAACTACTGCTACAGGTAGGCAGGGCTGCGCAAGATCACAAATATATATGGGATTTTGTATAATCCTATTGTGTTGCACTCCTTAAAAATTACATATGATCACTTATCCATGCCCAGAACATATGACCATATGAAGACAAGTGAAAAAAAGCATACATTAAATCCTTTAACCAAAATTCATATATAATAATCACTTAATTTACTTAAAAAACAAATTAATTCTTACTATTAATATATATCCGTGATTAAAAAATAGCTGAATCAATAATACATCATTTTTAGTGAGAAGAAAAAATATAAATCTCAAATAAAATTATTTAAAATAAATATACATATATACTTAATATTGTGCGAAAACAGTGTCCCATATAACATAAAAAATATATAGTGACTTTGTGCTTTAATTAATCTTCAATCCGTGATTGCATGTGAATCCGTGACTGTTTGTGAATCCTCCCATTAGTGCAGATGTACGCTCACCTCCTTATCTGCCTATAATTAGGCTATATGCGCTTTTGGTTCTCCTCCTATGGAGCCTGCTTGGTTAAGACTCTTTCCTTTTTAAATAGTGGATATCCTTTATCACTGATTTTTCCCCTCTGGGATTGATCCCTTCTCACGAGGACCCAAGTCCTCTATACTCTCCTCTCCATACGTCTCTAACTTGGCCTGAGGTCCTCCCTCTCTGAACCCCTAGATGGACATGCTGATATTTCTGCTGTTTTGGTTATGCAATCTTTATTCTGTTGCCTGCATCAGTGTTGGGTTCCCTGCACGTCTAGTCCCCAAGTACTGTTCTTCTGATATCTAAAGATTCCAGTGTTAAGACCGCATACGGTGACCTCAGGGTTAGCCAAGTCCAACTCTGGCTGTTTGGCAGCTCCCAGCACACATACAACACTCCAACAGATCCTTCTCAAGAACTCTTACTCTACCTATATATTGCAACATGCAGTATATATATATACTGCATGTTGCAATGCGTTTTTATTACAAAATATATGAAAAATATTTTTTAAAATAAATTTCAAATATACTGCATGTCTTTAAAAATACACATGACTTTTTTATGTTAAAAAAAATCTGAAAGAAATATTTAAAAAATATATATATTTTTTAAATATATTCTTCAGATTTTGTTAACATATAAAAAAGACATTTTTAACATATATTTTTTTACATATATTTGTAAATGCATTCCAAAAATGTAGATTTGTATTTTTAAAGACATACAGTATATTTGAAATGTATTTTTAAAAATATTTTTCATATATTTTGTAATAAAAATGCATTTCAACATGCAGTGTGTGTATGTATGTGTGTATATATACTGTATATATATATATATTTGAATATGGCCAAAAATTTTGCATTTCAAAGGAGAGCACCAGGAGATTTATGCTAGCCTGTGTTTCGACCCTAAAAATGACATTGTTTTAAATGATGCCTGATCACACCTGTCCACTTGGGCACCTGTCACTCAAAAAGCTACATCAACTTCTTTTCAAGCAGATTTACAGTTATGGCCACACAGACGTAAAGAATATGCAAACCTACAAACATTTACTGCTAATATGTGCCTGCTGTACCATGTACTTGTATGACAAAGAATCCCCTTGTATGGCTTCCTTTGTGTGGTGTTCCTGCCAGTCCCTCTACAATCCTATTACAAACTGACCACACTAGGCATGAGAGCACAGCGTTGTCAGTTCTCTAGCTGTTCTGGGAACTCAGCCTGCTCTCCTCCAATGAGACTTGTCCTGACATACCCCCCCCCCCCCCGCACAGCCATTGACTGCGAAGATCAGTATACTGCTCTTTCTCCTCCCCCATCTCTCTATGCAGCTGAGAACAGAGGGAAAAAGAGGTATTTATAATATTTTTTATATCATTTCAATTTTAAACTGAATGGGTTGTTTTACAAGGTGAGGGTTTACGATCGCTTTAAACTGAAGTGCCTGAAAAAAATACACAAAAATGCTTGTTATGAACATTTTTCAGACATTTCCACAATAAAAGTCTATGGGGCCAAAAACTGACCCTTTGAGAACTCGGGCACTGCCCGAGGGCCCGGAGTCAGTAGGGGGCCCCATGAGATGCCCCTGGTACCTTTCATAGGCTCTTTTGGGTGTGGTTTGAGTGTGGGCGAGGACACAGGGGCACAGAGACAAAAGAGGATGCAGCGCTATGAAATTCTCAACAATATTATAAATCAAAATTAAAATTTTAAAAATTAAAATATTAAAAAGAAAACACAGTGAACACAAAAAAGGCCACTATGCAGTAGCTATGAAGTGAAGGAAGTGTTGATAAAATCAATAAGTCCAAACAGGAGTGCTCATGAGATCTCAGATGATCTACAGACGTCCAATATGTGGAACCGTAAAAAAGGTGATGGATAATGTAAAGATTGCGCACTCACCAGATACGCAATCTTAATGCGCATTTGTATAGAGACCACTGAACATCTGGTGTCATCCAACTGGTCTGGTCAGATCTGGTCACGTTACTCTCACTGCCTGGTGCTGTCACACTAGAGTTTAGGTAGACGTGGCTGCTCTGTAAACCTGATTGGTTCTCAAAAGAACTCGGCTTTCACTTGTCCCTTCTATTGATGTCGGCGGAGATTGGCAAGCGCACCCACTAAATGTTGCCGCTGTAAACTCCAGAACCCGCTACGCAGCCCGCACGACAACTACTGTCATCGGCTCCTGTCACAGAGGACTGCAATTCGGTCAGCAGGGGGAGCCCCATGATCCCCTATTGCCCGGGGGCCCCATGAGTTCTCAGTCCGCCCCTGGCCCAAGCTATTGCATCATGTCATCTGAATGAAGTGAATGAATACAAAATGAATTTGTTGTTTTCATTATAATTCATTTATGATTAATTTATTCAGTACTATTGTGATTCGGACATTCAGAAACATCAGAATTTCTGAAATAAAGAAAATCTTGCCTGAATCTCAATTTGTAACGAAAAAAAAAATCACTTATGTCTCCTAAAACACGTAAAAAAAACATAAAACAAACCCACAAAAAAAAAGCTTAAAAATGTCAGAAAACAGTTGGCTTCCTATTTATTTTTGTCGGCCACTAGAACAATTGCTCAGGCCTGGAAGAGTCCGTTTGTCCCTCTTCAGGGGGTGCAGGACCGTATGACCACTATGATGCTCAATGAACAGATGTCGAGTATCTGCAACGACTCCCAATGTAAATTCTTGAAAATATGGGAGCCGTGGTTGCAATATGCCTTTCCCACGCTCACCCGGCTAGTCGGGGATGTGATGTTTGGTATTGGTGTTCTCCGACCCCTGCTCTTGGTTTTGTTATTATTTTTTCTTTTGTACTCCTCCTCCTTTTTCTTTTTTTGTTTGTTTTTGGTGTGGCAATGGATAGCTGCCTTTAGTTTGAGTTACTGTCTGTGTTATACTAATGTTTTTGTTATTTATGTGCCATTGATAGCTCCTGTGTGGGCGCACCTTTCGCTCTGCTGGTGTTAGAGCACTGTTTTTTCTATTTTTTTTATGTGAAATTACCTGGGCATGATTTGTTGCTCCTGTCTTAAACTGTTTAAAAATTAATAAAAATATTGAAATACAAAAATGTCAGAAAACTCTCAGGAATGAAGCCCTATTGACTGACAATGGTGAACTCTGTACACCTAGTTATCTTGATGTAAAAACTTTTTTTTTTTTTGAGTTTTTGTAGTTGTTGAAATTTTGTCGTAGTTGACTTTAGGTCTACTTAAAATAACAAGGGTTAAAAAAAATGGATGCAACTCTTAAAAATAAGTAAAGAAATGACTTTTTCCATTTTTGTTTCATCAGATTTGGTGGTAAAATAACATTGATACCTCCTGCTTTCAGAACGTCTTATTCCCCTCTCACTACCCAAGCGGAGAGGTTTGTTTTCTCAGCATGGCGCTTGGCAGAAGGAGAGTTAAGCTTCTCCAAGACAATGTGGTTAGGTGGTTATAGAATCGAGAGTACCATCTGACATGATAAATAATGCAGAATAATTCACACCTCAACAATCTAATGTTCCTTCTGTTAGGAGACCTGGAAAACATTGCTACGTTCACAGGTAATTACAGGTGTTAATCCCCAGTGAGCGAATGGTTAAAATGTAACTCCTTGAAGGATTGGAGCAAAGTCCTATCACTGGGGCCAACTTGTCACCTCTCACTTGTGGCCCTGAAGTTCTAAACTTTTGAGAGACGGTGACCTATATTATAAAGTACAATTTGAGGTGGTCGGGTGTTTGTTGAACTGGACTAATGTATGGATGGGGATTCGGAGCGATATCAGCGTAATGGACAAGAGTTCTTGAAATCGTTAAAGGTGCTATATCCATGGCTGTCATCTTTTCTTCTTGCCCCACGGATGCAAACGCCCGGGGCAGCTCGGTTTATGGGACAGCAGATGTTGTTTTTCCCTTCCTGCTAATTCCTTTTCTTTGTTCTTTGCTGGAATATCTATGTGTGTCACTTGTTCATCCCGAGCACAATGGTATGGTGAACGCAGTTTTCGACTAAATGCAAGCCATTGTGTGTTGCCTGTAAGGGCTCATGTACACGGGACGTTTGGAAAACACTTCTGAACGATGGAAACTGACTGCTGGAAAACGTAGGTTAAAAAATGTCTGTTTAGCCGCGTTTGCATACCGTGTTTATGCGCGTTTGTGTTTAGAAGCGTTTTTTTAAAGATAACCTCAGGAGACCTTCCCAAATGCCCAAAATGCACTGAAAAACAGTAAAAGATTAACTATTTCAGACATTTTGAGAGAAATAGAGAGAACAGAAGCAGGGAAAGCAGTATGTGTGGAGATGACCTGTCTTTTCTGGTTGTATTCACTATGGATCCCATCATGAGCATAATGCGGCACGTTCTACCATTTTTTCCTTCACACAAAACCTGGAACTGACTGCTCTGGTGTACCGGGACCATTTGAATACATGGAAAACACTTTGCATGCATTTCTGATGATGAAAAAAGGCTCTGGACAGCATCTGGATATGGAACAGTTAAAAAACGCTTATCAAACGCAAACGCTTATAAATGCGATTAGCTGCGTTTACAAACGTTTACAAGCGTTTGCCGTTTGAAACACTGATAAAATCTCCTGAACACAAGTTTGGTGCGTTCAAAAAAAATTACTGTAAACTCAACTGCCTGTAAATGACTGTAAATGATGATGTGTACATGGACACATAGGAACACATTAGGGAGAGTTCAGAGGTGCTAAAAAAAATGCAGAAAAGCTCCTAAACGTCAGTTTATCAGCTGCAGTGTACATGGAGCCTAAGTAGTCGTTTCTGTCAAATGTAGCTAAACAAAAAGAAGTACAGCCAAAGCTCTTGGTTGCTATTTTCATTGAAATCTTCATTCCTCTGCTTCCCCCATCCCTGATAGCTGTGATCTTCTGGGGGTTAATATAAGCCGCTGGAGCTGTCACAGGCACTCATCAAAAGGACAGACTATGCCCACCCTTTCTGCCCCCTCCTCCATTCACAAAAACTGTACTATCACTTCCCATGGACAGTCTGGGGAGCAGGGGCGGACTGACAACTCATGGGGCCCCCGGGCAATAGGGGATCATGGGGCCCCTGTGTCCTTGCCCAAACTCAAAAAAGCCTATGAAAAAGGTACCAGGGGCATCTCATGGGGCCCCTTACTGACCCTGGGCCCTCGAGCAGTACCCGAGTTTCCAAATGGTCAATCCGCCCCTGCTGGGGAGTCAAGGGCTAGATGATGCTGTATGTCCTCTAGCCTGGAAAGCCAGGCAGGCTCTGTCTGATTTCAAAAAGAACAAACAGCAGGGTGCAAGCACTTAGTGCATCACCAAAGATTTATTAAATGAAAGCATAAATCGTAACAAATGTGTACTTCAGGAGTGGAAGGCACAGAAGCGTTTAAAACCATGCGACACCATATATTGTAGGAGTCACATATCCTAACAATTAGTCCTCGTGCACACAGGATGTTCTTACAGCGGCTGTTTTTTGTTTTGACATTTTTTTTCTACAGCTAGTAAATTCCCCAGCATGTTATCCTATGTGTCCGTACACACATAGACTGGTATCAACGTTTTTGGGCTGGGACGTTTTTTGGCTGGAAAAAAACCCAGGACTAGTGGGCTTCTAGAGGAGTATTTTAGCTGTAAAAACGCTCTAACGCTGAAAAATGCTGAAAAACTGAGTAAAACTTGGTAAAACGCCACAAACTAGTGTTTTTGGAATTTTTGTGACCAAAAAAATGATTTTTTTGGGGTAAAAAAATGCTAAAAAATGCAATTGTTGAAAAACGTGGGAAAAGTTTCCAAATGGTCAGTCCGCCCCTGGTGTACAGTAATCATTTGGAAATAATTGAATAGAAAAAAATGTGCATGATCAGAAATGTCGAACAGCCGTACACTTCCCCTTCTACTATGCTAGTACGTAGCTACATTTTCCTGAGAAATTTCTGACAAGACAATACCAATCCGACTGCATCATGATATGCACTTTCATGGAAATTGAACGATCAGTCATCTGATATTCTCATAGTGTGTAATAGGATTCAGAGGGGGATTTACTAAAACTGGTGCACTCAGAATCTGGTGCAGCTCTACATTGTAAGTCCTCATGCACAGAGGCTGTTTTTGGCTTTTGATGTTTTTTTCTACAGCCAACTCCCCAGCATGTTATCCTATGTGTCCATACACACACATAGACTGTAATCAAACTTTTTTGGCTGGAAAAAAACCCCAGAAGTAGTGAGTCTCTAGAGCAGTTTTTTAGCTGTAAAAACACTCTAATGCTAAAAAATGCGGTATAACGTTGCAAACCGGCTTTTTTGGACTTTTGTTGACCCAATAAAACCCCTCTAAAAAACGCAAACATGGAAAAACGCCACTAATTGTGGCAAAATGGCGCTAGACACCAATGCAAAGCTCTAAAAAAAAGCTGAAAAATTCACATTTTTAACCACTTGCCCTCCTAAGGATTTACCCCCCTTAATGACCAGGCCTCTTTTTACTACTCGGCGCTGCACTAATTCAACTGATAATTGCGCGGTCATGCAATGCTGCACCCAAACAAAATTTCCGTCCTTTTTTTCACACAAATAGAGCTTTCTTTCAGTGGTATTTGATCACCTGTGCGCTTTTTATTTTTCACGCTTTAAACAAAAAAAGACCAAAAATTTTGAAGAAAAACAATATTTTTTACTTTCAGCTATAAAAAATATATAGTAAACTCAAAGTTGGTTATAAATTTAGGCCAAAATGTATTCTGCTACATGTTTTTGGTAAAAAAAATCCCAATAAGTAATATTGATTGCTTTGTGTGAAAGTTATAGCGTCTACAAACTATGGTATAGATACTGCAATTTACACCATTTTTTTGCTATACAGCTCTGCGCTAGTTTAACGGACAATTGCGCGGTCATGCAATACGGTACATAAATTAAATTTACATCCTTTTTTTCCCACAAATTGAGCTTTCTTTTGGTGGTATTTGATCGCCTGTGTGTTTTTTATTTTTTGCGCTATAAAAAAAAAAGGCTGACAATTTTGAGGAAAAAAAACTATATTTTGGACTTTTTACTATAAAACATGTCCAGTAAAAAAAATTTTTTAAATCAAATTTAGTCATAAATTTCTGCCAAAATGCATTCTGCTCCATGTCTTTGCTAAAAAAAAAACCCAATACGTGTAAATTAATTGGTTTACGTGAAATTTATAGCATTTACAAATGGCGGGAAAGATACTGGGATTTTAAATTTTTTTTTATACTAATAATGGCGGCGATCAGCGACTTATGGCGGGACTGCGGAGGACATTCTGACACTGGAGGGGAACTGACTTGGGGTCACTGACATCCCCAGTGACACCAATACAGTGATCAGTGCAAAAAAAAAAACATTGACACTGTACTAATGGCACTGGGGAGGAAGGGGTTAACTTTATTATTCAGTGAAAGGGTTAACTGTGTGAGGGGAGTGTTTTACTAGGGGGCGGGGGTGTGTACTGCAGGGAACACCACTGATCTGGAGAGAGAAACTCTTCTCTCCCGATCAGCCTGTCAGGAGCTGTCAGGGAACTGACAGAGAGCAGAGCTACTGCAGCCCTGCTCCCTGTCAGTGATTGCCGCTAATCGCCAGGACATAGCTGGTAACGATCGGCTGTGACCCGGCGACTGACATCCGCGGCCGTGATCGGCGGGACAGGCAGGGTGGAGGCGCGCCTCGCGCGTGCCCCCTACCTGTTTTGAAAACACACGTTTTAAAACATGGTTTTGCCCAGCCGTGCCGCCCTGCCAACGTATTTCTACAGTGGCTGGGCGGCATGTGGTTAACATGACTTTACACCGCTAAGATTACCAGCGTTATCAAAACGCCCCGTGTGCATGGAGCCCAACCAATCAACTTCTAACTTCAGTTTGTTCAATTAAGCTTTAACAATAAAACCTGGAAGCTGATTGGTTACAATTCACAACTGCACTAGATACTGCGTGCGCCAATATTAGCAAATCTCCCTCTTAGGCTTGCCATACATTATTCAATTTTCTTACAATTTTCTGCCCAATTTTCTTTAGATTTACCTTCAACTATGTAATGCAAGGGCCTGCCTAATTGGATACAATTGAAATAATTGTTTAGGTTTGACCTCATATTATATGGTTTTTGGAAAATCTAAAGCAAAATTCTCAAGAAAATTGTATAATGTATGGCCAGCTTTAGTGTCTGTGGCCCCACATGGACACAGACGGCAATAAAAACCTAGAAAGTAAGGTGTTTATGGAGAATTGCACACTCATTTGTTGTGGAATTAACAAATTCAACAATGGGGCAGCCAGTGGACCAATTAGGGTCACAGCAAACCTAGAATTGCATTGAATGAATGAGAGCGCCATTATTGCTTTTCACAGACCCATCTGCATGGAAATAGATGAAAATTTGGGCAATAAAATCCTGACAGGGCTCTAACCCTTCCAAACCAGTACCTAGGTCTTCTGTCTTTGCCATGTTATGAATTGTCTCCCTAGACCCCAAATGCCTTGGCTCAGTGGAGTGGCTCAGGTGAATATGGCGCTGAGGATGCTGTGACACCGGTAGCTTCAGGACTGTCAATGCGATCGTGCGTCCCTGCATAGAACCAGACAGTGGTGAGCTTTTTCATCCCCCCCAGAGCTCCCCCTGGTGACCATTCCTGGTTTAAGAAGAGGCTGTATATACGTCCTTAAAGTGGACCCCCGGATGTAAAGCCACCCTGATGTTATCTACCTATCCTAAACTGTACCATCTTAAGAGAGATTTCCGGCAGACCTCAGCTTGATTAAATACATTGCGCATTTTCCTTGCGCATCTGGTGAGTGCGCATTTTATCTACTTGTCGCCACCCACCATTTTGTTTGATGACTAATATACCACCGGGAATAACCGCGTCACCTTGGGGCCCACATATGATCCTTGAATTTGAATTTATTTATGGACTTTTATTTTAATATTTTCATTTTACTATGATGATTATTTATGGTTTTCATTTAACTGACATATTCCATTGATCATTTATATTATCTTATTGATTTTATCACATTCACATAGTTTTTTAGCGCTGCACTATCTTATATATATATATCTTATCTATATATTAGTCACTTGGCTTAGTGCATTTATGTTATAAAAAGTCAGCAGGACCAATAGGGAGGCTCCTGTGTTAAGACTGGACAGGGACAAGCTTTTACTACTTTTATCAACTTTTACAGGAAAGTTATTATTTGCATATAACTTTACCTGCCTACACCAATAATTTCGACATATGGTTTTCAGCGAAGGTAAGCTTCACTTATGTATTTTTTCCTAACATAACACAACATATGTTGTGTTTGAATTGCCTAGGTTCGTTACTTCAAAGTTTAGAGTTGTGAAAGTCATTACATTTCCACTACGGGCCTCTTTATTCAGTGATAACTTTGTCATTAACTAAGATGAAAAAGTAATGCATATATTGTTTTTTTTTTTTTTAAGAGGACCAGCTAAGCTTTCTTTTGGAAGTATTGTCTTTCAAAAAATATTTTAATTTCTAAATAAGCTATAAAAAAAAGACATAAACATTAAAAAGTATTTTTTTTCTCTATTTTAATGTTTTTTTTTTCTTAAAAATTGGTTTTGCTGTAAATAAAAAGTATACATTTAATTCTATTTTTAAGTTTAAAGCTGATTTCCAAGTGTGCATATCTACTTGTACACCCGCTAACGTTTTCCGGGGCCATGGCTGCATCTGTCAGCCATAACCCCAGTATTAACATTTTCAGCCAGCGAAGCTCTCTTTCCTAAAAGCAATCTGAGCGGCTGATTAGCCACTGGGTCGCTTTTAGAAGTAACCGGAAGGGTCATCCCACCACTCATCAATGTTTCTCGGGCTTACCCGGCTTACCGACAAGCCCAGGATCCGATCAGGCATCTGTCAGCCATAACCCCAGTATTAACATTTTCAGCCAGCAATGCTCTCTTTCCTAAATGTGATCAGAGCGGCTGTTTAGCCACTGGGTCGCTTTTAGAGGTAACTGGAGGGGTCGTCCCGCCACTCACCGATGTTTCTTGGGCTTACCCGACAAGCCCAGGATCCGATCCGGCATCTGTTAGCCATAACCCCAGTAATAAAATTTTCAGCCAACGAAGCTCCTTTTCCTAAAAGTGATCTGAGCGGCTGATTAGCCACTGGGTCGCTTTTAGAAGTAGCAGGAGGGGTCTGATCCTCCCCTTCTTCCAGTATCCCCCTCTTATCTCCTGATAAGACATATTCTGTGGAGTCACACTGCACATGCTCAGTTTGGTGTGTATTGCTAGAGAGGTTTTTTTTTCTTGCGAGAGTGAATGTGATCAGCACAGGGCCAATCAGCACTGTCCAGACAGAGGTCAGGGGATCTGCATCCTCCTAGAGCAGGAAAAAAAAAGTATTAAATTGGAACGGAATGCAAAACTTATTTTTTTTTTTAGTTTTTACAGTGGAGAGGGATTAAAACACCTGTTTTTTTTGCTACAAAAATGGGAATTGAAGCACCACTCCACTGCCAAGAGGTCCAGACAGAGGTCAGGGGTTCTGCATCCTCCTAGAGCAGGAAAAAAAAAAAACTCCTCCTAAAAGCTTTAACCAGTGCTCGGCTGGACACTGGTAGAAGTCAGAAGCAGGGGCGGACTGACAACTCATGGGGCCCCTGGGCAATAGGGGATCATAGGGCCCCTGTGTCCTTGTCCAAACTCAAAAAAGCCTATGAAAAAGGTACCAGGGGCATCTCATGGGGCCCGAGTTTCCAAATGGTCAGTCCGCCCCTGGTCAGAAGACTGTTCTAACTGCAGAGAAAAGGAATTCAGCCATTTATATTTACTAAAATAATTACACTTTCATGTTGTGTGTACTGTGGGAGACCAGATATAGTGAATGCAGGGTCCTGGGAGACCAGATATAGTGAATGCAGGGTCCTGGGAGACCAGATATAGTGAATGCAGGGTCCTGTGTTTAGTAGCACTTTAAGTATGACACAGAGGAGGGCATATTATATTGATATGGAAGTGTCCTTATGTTTTTTTTCTAGCCCTGATGAAGGAGACATTTTTGGACCCTTGAAATGTGTTGCATACTCTTTTGTATTGTCCTCTTGACTTTTATTGGAATAATGTTCTCTCTGGATCAGGGGCGGACTGACAATTTGGAAACTCGGCACTGCCCGAGGGCCCGGGGTCACTAGGGGGACCCATGAGATGCCCCTGCTACCTTTTTCATAGGCTTTTTTGAGCTTGGGCAAGGACACAGGGGCCCCATGATCCCCTATTGCCCGGGGGCCCCATGAGTTGTCAGTCCGCCCCTGCTCTGGAACTTTTAGCAGTGGATGGCAATTCAATTTCCTCTTTTGTTACATTACAGTACAAGCCAAGAACACCACAGAGATCCTCTGGGGAGTAGAAGCTGTCTGTCCAGGAACTAGATTATTTAATTAGTGAAGGCGGGAAGCAGTGGCAAGGGCAGAAAATCAGGATGTAAGCGATACGTCCAAGGAGCTTTGTTGAAGTTTTTTTTAGGACATACTATCTCTTATGGTTAAAATCTTCAGGTGGTTAATAGAATACAGAATTATTATTATTATATGCGTTAGGGCCAAACCCCAATTAGAGAATGTCTTAACGAGCTTTAGAAGCTGCTTAAGTTTTTCCTTTTAAATTGCCTCACTTAAAATAGTATTGCAAGTTAATTAAAATAAAGTAAAGCAATCTGTTCCTGATAATTTATTAAGAGTTTAAAAGATGTGTGACACTCACAATGAAATTAATTTGCAGGTGTATGGTTACATATAATCATTTCACACAGTGGTTAATTCATCCCACAGTAATATTTTTATAGACAAATATAGAAATGAACTGCTGATACCAGATATTCCTGTCTCGTAGTTTTTTTTTTAAACTATAGTTTACTAATTAAGGAGAACAACTAGAGTTTTGCTTCGATGTTTCCAGCACTACCCCTGAAGGGGGTGCTTGATATTGCTTGTCCCTAGTGGTTGCCCTGACCTTGAAAGCCTCCCGACAATTCTGACACTCCTGGTTCAGACTTACTTCAACAGTATAGAAATAATAATGCAAGAGAAAAAGTTCTTTAGTAACACCTCTATATTTGACTTGTTCAAAAGAGAAGGCTACAGGAATAATGGGTTTAGGATATACAACCCCAATATGCAACCCTAGTTAATGCATAAAAATAGAAGACTGGTAAAATAGGAATAATCAATTAGCAACCTTTTTTTTGTTTACAAACGTTTTTATTAGAAGATAAACAGCATAAACAGCACCATCTCATGAAGTATAGCATACATCAAAAAAAGGCACATATGTAAAAAAATACCTATTGTAAAGGAACCGACCCCAGACTGCACTTGGGTACTTCCGTTAGACTACAGTTTCCCTGTCCGAACACCAACAACAGACACCACAGCCGACCATACAAGACTAGACGACACCAATCTTGAAGTTATCCAGAAGGTAGACTACTTTATTTACTTCAGGTACTTATATAGTGCCATCAATTTTACACAGCACTTTACATAGATGTTGTACATTTATGTTGGTCCCTAACCCTCAAGGGGTGTACAATCTAAGGTCCCTAACCCTCAAGGGGTGTACAATCTAAGGTCCCTAACTGACATTCATACATACAGATACTAGGGACAATTTAGACAGGAGCCAATTAACCTACCAGCATGTCTTTGGAGTGTGGAAGGAAACCAGAGTACCCAGAGGAAACCCACGCAGGCACAGGGAGAACATGCAAACTCCAGGCAGGTGGTGCCGTGGCTGGGATTTGAACCAACAACTCTAGTACTGCCAGGTGGAAGTGCTAACCATTTAGCCACTGTGCTGCCCGAACATTACTGGCAATGGTGTGATTTGGGATTAGATGTAAGATATATACACTCAGGGGGCAATCTTCCCTCCTAATACACATAAACACATACATCCCATAATAATTTGCTCCCAAGCAAGACAAACAATAGAACAATGGGATGCAGCCACACAACACCAAACAATTCACAACCCCCACCCCACCTATATCCTAGACATGTCTACACAATATTAGGACAGATCACCCTGTACCCCTAACAGGCACAAGGTGACTTACACATAAGAGGGATATGGGGAACTGAGACAGAGGTCTCCCGACCTCTCCAATGTGAGCTGGGTTCCATGGGCCCCCCACCCAAAGTGACTCCCGTCACACCTATCTTATAAAACAGAATTTTTAGAAAGAGAAAAAATTCACGTACATGAATGAGGTGGACAGTAAGATATATTGAACAGTTACACAAACCAACAGAGATACATTGTCAATAAATCTATAGTGATCCATCATTATAACAATAGATGTCGAAATGTCTTCCAACCGTCCCATAGTTTGTCAAGTAACTGCATCATGTCCAGCAATATATATTGAATGCGTTCCATGAGCATTACCATGTCAATTATACGCAAAATAAAGGATAAAGGTACAGCTGGTGACTTCCAATGAAGAGAAATGGCCCATAAAGCAGAAACACAGATAGTTTGAATTAGCCTCATTGTGTCAGACGGGATCCCCAAAACAGAAGATCCCAATAGACAATTTTGCACGAACAGATATACCGGAGTATCTGCCAAGACCAAGGGCACCTGTCAGGAATGGACTGGCCAGCAATAGTGGGACTCACCTGCCTTATGAGCTTCAGTACCAGGGCTGGCCAGCGGGTGCTCCCAGCAATCAGAGACTCAACCTTGCAGCCAGTCAAACACCTGGAACTAATTATACTGGTGTATTTAAGGGACATTCAGACCTGCAGACTCGGCCTTGGTGTTGTGTTTCTCCTGGGCCCTGTTTCCTGTTCCTGTTCCTGTCTGATTCTCTGCTGACCCTGCTCTGATCCCTGGCTTGTCTGACCATTCTCCTGCTCCTGATCCCTGGCTTGTCTTATCATTCTCCTCTGCCTGACCCTCTGTACCACGCTGCCCGCTACCTGCTGAACCTGGCCTGTGACCCCGACCCATCTCCGCTTGCTCCCCCTGTACCTACCTGCCCGATTGATATTGACCCGACCTGCCTGACGACGCTTGCATTGTATGTACTGTTATCTGTGGGTGGTTGGTTGGTTTGTTTGCACTGTGTTATGTTTTAGTATTGCACTGCGTTTATGTTTGTATTGTTAGTGTTAATAAATTATATTGTTTATAACATATCTGAAGTCTGCGTTTCCCTGCATCAGTCACACACCTCTGGTCATACCCGGGAGCCCTGACAGCACCTCAGAAACTTTCTGCCAGATCCAAGAAAGACCTGGGCACGCCCAAAACATGCATCAATGTACCAGTAACCCACACCCCCTAAAACAGAGGTGCGACATTTCCAGAAACATGTTATGTAGTCTAGAGGGGGTATAATATGAACGTGTTAAAATTTTAAGAGCCGTCTCCCGAACTGAGATAGACCTGGATCCTTTACGTATATTATCCACCATGGCTTCCCAGTCCTCTTCCGAAAATGTAATACCGCAGTCTTCCTCCCATTTCTGTCTATATGAGGGGGTGCAGCAAAAATGGCATTCAAAAAGGAACAATATAAATCTGAAATAAGACCCCTACCCCTGGGAGAGTCACGACTGGTGCGCTCAAAATAAGTGATCGGGGACGAAGGTGACAGTCCAAAATGGGAGCTAAAGAAATGTCTTATTTGCCGAAATCTATAATATTCTCCAAGTGGAGTATCAAAAAGTGTCCACAACATATCGAAGGAAATATACAATCCACCTCTCTGAAAATCTGTTAATCTATTTAGTGCATGATCATACCACCAGCGAAATGCCAATTAGCAACATTTAACAGGTGATACAGTCACAGGGGTGTATTTACCACAAGGCAAACAAGGCATTTGCCTAGGGCAGCATTTTTTAGGGGGGCAGCACTGCCCCCTGGAAGAGGGGACATATGCAGCACGAGGACTAGGTGGGATCCGAGAGAGGCTGTGGGCTGCTTGACGGTGTATGCAGTGCCTGACTGTCGTTCCCAAGGATGTGCAGAGCTGTAAAGGTGAGTGTCTTTCTATCTGTCGCTGGGGGTGGGGGGGGTGTTAGTGGAAGGCTCTCGGGTGGGGGGATGATGAGGCAGGGGTATTGTTGGTTACTGTCAGGCTCTCTCCACAGGGGGGAGGGGGTCTGGTGTTGGTTGGTGTCAGGTTCTCTATGCTGGGGAGGAGGGGTGCCCGATTTTTGTGTTGCTTAGGGCAACACAAAACCTAAATATACCACTGTACAGCCATGAGCAGTAACCTTCAACAATTTAATTGCAACAAGAGAGGGAAAAAAAGGCTTGTTGACTTAACAGTTCCCTTTGTGCCTCTGGCACCACAACGGGGCATGCAAAGAATTATGTAAATTTATACTCTGGCATAAATAGATATAAGTACCCTAAGATGAATAACAATGGCCTTAGGAGAGAAAAGATCCCTTTAGCTAGAGATTGCAACTTGAGTCCTGTGATGTTTAAAGTTCCTGATATGGTGGTATCTGCTGTCTACTGCTAGCAATGGTGGGGCCCATAAGCATTAGTGAATACTGGTAATTCAATAAAGTTAAACAGATAAGCTGTGGTACTGCTCCATGCAAAAGTATCCTGAAAACTGAGGTGTAAAGGTATCTGCATGCAGTGTCTGTAGAGTGATGACAGAAAGAGGCTGGTCATTCACCCGGTCACCAATCCCATGGATAGCACAGCCTCCTAGAAACATATATAGGATTCAAAGAAAAAAACTGTAATGAACAAAGTATCAAAAAAAAGAAGTTAATCCAAAATGGATACACCCAATGATGATGGTGATCATTATGGTCCTACATATTGGTTCGGGGAACAGACTTCATTATTGGGAATTG